CTTCTTCTTCTTCTCGGACTGGAGGAGGAGGGGGGCCCCCCGCGCCCGTCCTCCCCCTCGCGCCCATTTGCCTGCCATCTAAATCCCCCCACGGCAGTCCCCCTGCCCTTTGTCGTCCACTTCTCTCGCCCGGGCAGGCACCTTCCCCTCCTTCCTGTGGAAATGGTAGGATTCCTCCACTCCCCGCGCTTTCTCTGGCCGAGCCCACACCCCCCCCCCCCCCCTAACCTGTTGTTGACCATACAGCCGAGCGCCACGCCTCCCGCCCACTCGCCAGGGCGGTCGCTACGACTATCCATTCGGACGTCGGCACCGGGGCCAGCCCCCCCGCGTGGATCCTCCCCCGAGCCACACGGCTCCTCGGAGACTGCCTCCCGAGCGTCTGCACCGACCAGCAAGGCGGTCTCCTTCTCATTGGACGTCTCCGCCGAGCCAGGTGCCACCGGCGGCAGTCCAAGCCGCGCAATGGGCCGTCTCCCGTTAAAGATTGGAGCCAGTCAGGTACGCGCTTTTGTCCCCTCCCTCCCTCCCTCCCTCCCTCTCTCTCTCTCTCTCTCCCTCCCTGCCTGGTCCCTCCCCCGCCGCTATGGCGGAACGAGGACGAGGAGGGGCGCGTCTCTCAAAAGCCCGGTGGCCGGATCTGTGATTGACCCTTCCCTCATTCGTGCCAGACTCCGAGCATCCCACCGACCGATGGGGATCTCGATGCCGGGTCGCCGCCCAGTGCCAAGCGCCAGTGCGTGTCCCTGTCTCTGGCCCCGGGGGTGGGGGATGCCACGACTTCGCCAGGCCATGGGCGTGCCTTACGGATTTCCCTCGGGCCGTCTCTCAACATTCGTGTGAGCCAGTCCGTGTCGGGTTCCACCGGTGGACAACCCCCGGCGGAAAAGCCCCCAGCATTGTCGGACCCGCCAAAGTTGGCGGAGGCCGTGGAAACACCGGTGTCCAAGCCGGTGCCCGAGGACCCAGGCCCCATGCCCGAGCCTCCGGAGGTGCCTGCTGGCAGTTGTGCGGCCTTTGCGGCCGTCGTTGCGGCCTTGATCGATCCGCAGCTGGTTCCGTACCAGGACGCCTTTTTGGTGCGGCCGGCGGCCGAGCAGCGGGCACGCATCACCCGTGATCGTGTGCTGTCAGCTCCGCCAAGGGCCATCCGTGCGGCGGCCCTGCATGCGGCTGGCTATGTCAATGGACTGGTGGCGTGGCGAGCGGCCCGGCTGGCCCGGCTGGCGGCCGGGGTCGATTCGCCGGACACCCTCACCGATGGGGAGCGAGCCATGCTCCAATCGCCGGGGCCTCGCCCGATCCCGGTGACTGTGGCACACATTGCTCACACGTATGACTTTTCGCCCTTCACCCTTGGCGGGGAGGAGCCATGTCGCCCCCCGACCCTGGAGCTAGATCCTCCTGGGACTCGCCCGACGGTCTCCCGGGCGCAGGTGGTCAATGTGGCTCGGGCTCATGCGGTGCCCACTTTCCAGTCGGACCGGCAAATTCTGGTCCCATCGTCGGTGGTTCGTCTGGAGGCGCTGTCGCTGGAGGATCTCCGCGCCCATGCGGCCGAAGCCACCGAGGCACGTGGGGAAATGGCTGACACCGCCGAGGCGAGTGTGACGGCCGAGGCCGAGCGGTCCGGGGTCGATGTCAAGCCTGAGCCCTTGGTGGCAGCCCCCCTTGGCGACAAGGCCCTTGAGGCGGCCCAGGGCTTTCTCTGTGCTTTGGACTTCGTTGAGCCGACCACCCTGTTTGTGACACACTTCGACCTGTCACGGGCACTTGGCGTCATCCGGGGATATCGACTGCTGGATATCTATCCGACCATGAAAGAGGGGTCAACCTTCGGGCCGCAGGTGTTCACTCGTCCGGAGGTCGGGCCCTACTTTGGCCGGGAGTGCGGCATTCGGCAGAACAATGAGCAGGAATCGGAAGAGCTGGTCAGTCGGGGATTCTTCAATCGGACGCTGCGCGGGCGTCGATCGACCATCGGTACGCGATGTCCGAGCACCTCTCTCCCCGCTCCTTCTGGGTGTTCTTCATTTGCTTGCCTCCTCTCTTCCTTTTAGAGAGTGGGGCGGGGGGTGGGACAAGACAGGCAAGGGGGAGGGGAATTTGCCCTCCAACTGGGCCACTGACTTGCTGCCATGCAACTGGCCGGCTTCTGCCAGTTCCCTTCTTCAGTGCCTGGCTGGCGGCGCATCTTTATGGCGACTTCTCGCGACTGTACTGGAGCAACCTGGGCCAGGCATGTCGCGAGCACACCAGCCCTCAAACAGCCGAGGCCCTGGCCGTGGCCGAGGCTCTTCCGCCGCGGGTGCGGGCATTCCCCCCGGCGGCGGACGAGCAGTCGGAGCTCTGCACCGAGGCAGCCAACAGCCAGGCCCTGAAAGCCATCACCCCGGCAGTGGTATACCTGGTCCGGGGCTGGCTCTATGCGTTGCCGGATGATCCGGCCCTCTTTGCGCAATTCACACATACCCGCCACGGTGGCGGGGGCTCAGCCTCG